AGAGAATAATGCCACAGAGATAGCATTTACATCTTAAAATTAAAGTTATGAAAATCAACCCTTTGCGCTATTCTTCATGGTGCGCGTCACGATCTGATCCCACACCACAACAAAAGATCAAATATGAGAAATATAAAATAGCCGCCCTGTGATCGTGCACACACCGCGAACATAGTTCTAGGTAAATAGTCCCCACGTACTTGGAGGCTGAAGCAGAAGATTGGTTGAGTCAGGAACATTAGAATTCATCCCGCGACTGAACTAATATTGCGCGTGGCCACAGTGTACTCATCTCCACTCCCTACCCTGTTTATCAACAGAGGTAAGATCCACTCTACCCACCCGGACCCACATGCAGGGCGTCTTGCATTCAGGCGCGACGAATGGCGCCCTACACTGAAAGTATATCCGTAGACAACTGAATCTGAAGTTTGCGAATGAGACTGCGGCAGAGGCGAGGAAAAAAGTAAAGATCGTAAACACCAGACCCCCAACACCCAGAGACCTCAGGTAAGAAAAACCTAAACACTACAAAATATTCCCGATCTCCGTACTACACAATTTAAAATAAAATGAAGAATAGTACAACAAATAAAATATTAACACCTATATCACATTAACACCCCAGGCAATGGGACGATAGTTGTGCATTGCCTGTAGAGCCCCAGCCCCATCTTGAGGCCTAGCCAGAGGACATCCCTGACCAGAATGCTAATTATTGCTGTAGAATCTATGGGCAATAGACCGCCACGAGCATCTACAATAATAAAAATAGCCCAGCAAGCAAAAGTAGAGACTCTCAAAAATAAGAATTATATACCTTATTATGATATCAGAATAAATGACTTGTCTCAATACAGATATAATACTAATAAAAATCTAACAAATATGTAAACATGATCATATTAAACAGTATTAAAACCGCGATCAGAACTAATATCCCATATGTATAACTGCCTGCAAACAATTAAAGCACATTAGGTCCATTTTACGCGAACTATCATGTTTATAGATAACAATACACAAAAACCTCATACCTCTATGACAAAGAAGACAGGAAACAACTTATCTTGGCAGTTTCCGTAAAGCAAAATACAAAAACAAATCCAAATTGCATAGTAAGTGCTCTGTTTTATCCATGTTCTATCCTCTTTCTATCCACATATCGTTGTGTATGGACTTTTATTCTAGGAACGACAGAGAGCTCACTTGTACTGCCATACATGGCAAGAATGAAGTTCCGTGGCGTTATTCAAACCATCACATAGCTGATATTCTTAATGTCTATCATACATCATTGACAACTCAAACTCCTGCCCAAGCGAATATCCTGCCTAGCCAGTCACACTTATACCTATACTCCAAGGATTATAGCGCATCTTAGCCACGATGCAACCATACGTCCTGGTCCATGTGCCCCTACATATTGGAAATGATTCTATCTGAATATGAGTATAGTTGGCCAATTATTTCTTTTATCAATTAGAGACTGGGGTTCACTCTTGCTCAAGCGTTTTGAACCTCATATAGAGCTATCTCGCGCACCAACCAGACACGACCAGAATGATGCTATGACATTTACCCAGTGTGAGCCTGAAATTCGACACTATAATCATTAGTCAATGTGACCAAGATGATGCCAGTGAGGTGCACACTGAGCAAGACGCGCCATGAGGCGAGGCGACCGAGAGCAAGGAAACTGTGAGAGCGAATTCGAAATCTCCCCTTCTGCGCGTCGGCTCTCTTCATCTTCTTCCCTCCTTTCACTCGGTCATCTCCCTGTGCTTTTGAGCCTTTCAGGTCCCTGCAGCGGTCTCACTTGCTCCTACTACACTCTAACTTGGCTTGCCCTTGAGGTCCAACTACTGGCACCGCATATCTTCATATCCCTATCCTCCCCCCTTTAGCTATTTCCTCTGTCAGATGGTGTTTTATCTTTCGCTGTACTTTCCAGACCCCACGCTGATTCCACCTATACATATATTTATGGTCCTAAAAATCTCCCGGAGTGGTATAAGGAGGCCAGATATCGCTGAACTGACAATTCCTAGGGCTGCCAGACTGTCTAGCGACTGTGGCGGCGTCATTTTCCTCTCCAGCGGTGAAGCCTCTCCACTGCCAGCTTCTGTTCTTTGGTTTCGTCTCAGCGCTCTCCTAGAAACTAAGAAGCACAGTCATTCTGCTGTGGATTGATAGTTGCCCAGCACTCCTAATGACCCAGGACCTCGTCATGTCTTTATACATCAAGGCAGGAAGGAACTTCCATTAGTTTTCTTTCTTTTTTTTGTTTTGTTTATTTATTTATTTTTTGATCAGAGTCTCACTTTGTAATGCCCAGGCTGGAGTGAGTGCTTATGCATCACCTAGCTCACACAACTCAACTCTAAAAGAGAAGTGTCATTGTGGCTGCAGGAGGAAACACTGAGTTTATAGCTTGAATCTGCTCACTTTTCTCCATCTCCACGGCCACTGGCCTGGTCCAAGCCACACTCATCTCTCCCGGACAACTGCAGTGACCTCAGTCTGGTCTTTCTGTATCTATTGTTGACTTCCTGTCCATTCTCCACACAAAGGCCAGAGGGGCCTTCTTCAGTCCAGTGGGGTGTGGAACAACCAGAACTCTCATAATGTGCTGATGGAAATGAAATTGGTACAAGAACTACAGAAAAGCATTTGGCAATATCTATTAGCACTGATTATTTGCACACCTTAAGAATCAGCAATTTTACTCCTAGGCATATATCCAACAGAAATGCACACATATGTTTACCTAAAGACATCTACAGGAATGTTTATGACAGCATCATTTGCAATAAAGCCAAAGTGGGTACTATCCAAATGTCCTTCAACGAATGTTTAAATAAATTGAGATATTCACACAATAGAATACATAAGAAATGATTTTTAAAAAACCTACAGCACTACAGCTACGCCTGCTAACATGGATGTCTCTCACAAACATATTATTGAGTTTGAAACACAAAAGAACACATACTGCATGACTCCATTCATATAAAGTACTAACTAGGCCAAACTAGTCTATAGGGATAGAAGACAGAATAGTCATTACTCTTGGTGGGGGGAGTGAGTGGTGAGAGGCACTGTCTGGGATTCTGGTAATGATCTATTTATTGATCTGCGTTCAGGGTACGTGGGTGTGTTTACTTTGTAAAAATTCATTCAGCCGTTTACTAAGGATCTGGGCACTTGTTTGTATGACAAATAAAAAGTTTTAAAATGTAAAAAAAGAAAATGTGTGAAAAAAGTCCTTCAATAGTTTTCTGTCACACTTATAGTAAAAATTCAAATTACTCACTGCAGCTTTCAAGCATGTACACAGTCTAGCTTCTGTCCTCGTCAGACGTCCCACTAAACCTCAGCTGCTTTGGCCACTTGTCCAGTCCTTGGAGATGTGGTGCCTGTTCCTGCCTTAGGCTTTGTACTTCCAAGTCTCCGAGTTTGCAATGCTCACACCTTATTTTTGTCAGTTGGGTCTCAGTTCAGACATCACCTCATGGAGGCCTTCCCCAAAAATCCTATAAAAAGTGGTCCCCCCACCTAGCCTAGGAACTCTTTATGATAGCAACCTGCTTTGTTTTTTGATGTTACCTACGTACCTGAAACCATCTCTCTTATTTATTTACTTCATTCATTTAGTGACAGTTAAGTGCCAGGCACTAGTCCAGGCACCAGGCACATAGTAGCCAAAAAAGCAGGCAGTCCTGGCTCTCACGGGGCTTGGGGTCTTGCTTCCTTGATACTGGTTGCCTCACCAACAGGAACGCAAGCTTCCGGGAGAGCAGGGACCTTGTCTGTGTCCCCATGGCATAGGGTGGTGCTTCTTGAGAGTGACTCTGGACACAGAGGTGGGGGAAGGCAGCTGTGAATGAGTGTGTGAGGAGGGCAGCCTTGGAGATCTCCCCTGAAGTGGGCTGGTTCGATTGGGCAGAGGAATGTGGGCAGGGGTGGAGGTGGTTTAGGCTGGAGAAAGGGGTGCAGTGTGACACTGGGTAAAGGAGTGTGACATCTCAGAGACAGTTGCATTTTGAGGGATGGAGTAGAATCCAACAGCCATGAATCCACACAGGAGGAGGAGGAGAAGGAGAGGAGAAAAAACATCAGAGGGTAAGAGAGGATTGTAGGTTAAAGGAAAGGTCTGGCCATTTAGCTAACAGAGGCATGACCATCGAAAGGGATGAAGGTGAGATCTTTCCTAGAGAATGTCATTAGTCAACTGTCCTGAGAAGTGGAAACCTGTGCTGGGCAGATATTTTGTTTTCATACCATAAAGATATTAAACTAGGTTGGCCATTCAAAAGTTCCCCTAACTGGGGAGGCAGTTGGAGGATGGGGGTTAGGAAGTCTGAAAATCAGTCTCCTCTTCCTCCACTTCTCCTGACAGATCCTAGTCTCCAGGAGAACTTGTGGGCACGTTCTCTGCCATATTACCCTAGGCTCCGAGTTTACCCCTAGCACCCAGCACAGAGTGGGCATCCGGAAACGTGGGCTGAGAGTGAACAGATGCTGAGGTGGGGGAGGGTGACACTGAGTTACTAGGTAGAACGACTAATCTGTGATGTCACTCCCTGGCTTCAGACATTTTCACTGCACTCGACCTACCATGCCTATTATTATTCTGCCCTGATGACATCTCACACAACCAGCTGCTCCTTCTGCCTGGACCCTTGTAGTGAGGTGTCCCCAGCATCTGCTCAACAGTGGGGATGGGGAGCGACAGGTAGGACATGCTCCCTACCCAGTCAGGAAGCTCTGTAGAGCAGTGAGGCTTCCTTCCTTCCCGTTTCCTTCAGGCATTCAGCTCAAGACCCTAGGCAAAGCGTCCCTAGCGTGTTGGGAACAATTGGGTGGGCTTCCTGTCCCCACCAAGCCATTGCCATCCCTTCCCAGGCAACCATCCTTTCCCCCCTCTCTCTCTCCCTGTCCCTCCTGTTCAGAGCCCCTTAGAGCGGCATCGAGTCCCCAGCCCCCAGCCTTCTCACCATCAGTCCCCCGCCGATGAAGCCCGCCATGAGCCAGACTTGCAAGCTGAGGTGGCCATTGGTCCAGGTGGTCTCTCCGTTAGGCACCAGCAGGAGGGCATTGGCCACGATGCAGACCAGGGAGAGGGGGATGAGGGAGAGCCCCACGCAGCGGGCACACTTTCCCGTGCACATGCTACAGCACCGGGAAGGACAGGTGGCGAGTGAAAGTGCTGGAGGTTCCCAGGTCCACAGGAAAACAAGCCCGGAGCAGGAGCAAAGGTCAGGGAAGAGGAGTGGCAGAAACTGGCTGGATCACAGTGATAAGGGAGAGAGGCACCCGAGGAAAGCAGAGGTGCTGCAGCCCTGAGGTGCAGTGGGGGAGGCGGTGGTAGGCGGAGATGGGGGAGCTTGACACGCAGAGGAAGTTGCCTGGGGTTAGTGTCTTGCCCTTTCTTCTGCACACACCTCTCCACAGCCCCTCTGTTGGTTCCTTAACTGCTCTGTGAGGTAGCCAGGCCCCTTGATGTTTCTGAGTCTCAGCTGCCTCATCTGTCTAAAGGGAATAGTGATGCCACTTGCCTCATGGGGGGTCGTGAGGATCAGATGGGGGCACCATGAGAAGTACTTTGTAAACTAGGAAGCACAAAGCAGATGTATGGTGGCCTCATCCTTTTTATTGGTTCCACAGGGAGAGTTCCTCCTAGAAAGAAACGAAAAAGATGACAGTGGGCTTTCATCGTCCTTTCATTGCTTTTTGTCAGTATCTGACTATTGACCCTTCCTCCTGTTGAGGCCATACTTGTTTCTGAGGAAGGGGGGTGCTCGAGACTGAGGCCTTACTGATGAATTAGAGCATTCTAATTCTCTGGCCTCCATGTTTGATTCAGCTGTGGCCATGTGATCCAAGCCAGTCCGGTGCGAATCAATTTCTGGGTTTTTTTGGTTAGCATTCTGAGGTCAGAGAAGTTCTGCTTTTGTTGGAGTGCTGAATCAACAAAAAGAAGTTATTACTCAATTATTGTATACATGTCCGAGTTGTTTCTGTGTGTGAAGACCAACAGAATTGCATTTCTGAGAATGCTTGGATTTGGAAATAACCCTGTGTCTCCTTCTTCTCGTTTTTGGGGAAGTCATCTTAACTCACCAGGAGATGAAGTAAAATAAAAACTCCCAAATGGAGAAGTCGTTGCTTAAGTCTAAATATATATATATATTTTTTGAGACTAAGTCTTGCTCTGTTACTCCGGCTAGAGTGCCATGGTATCAGCCTATCTCACAACAACCTCAAACTCCTCTCCACAGACCCTCTGTTGGTCCCTTAACTGCTTTGTGACTTGGCTCAAGCAATCCTTCTGCCTCAGCCTCCCGAGTAGCTGGGACTGCAGGCATGCACCACCATGCCTGGCTAATTTTTCTATATATTTTTAGTTTCCAATTAATTTCTTTCTATTTTTAGTAAAGATGGGGTCTTGCTCTTGCTCAGGCTGGCTTTGAACTCCTGACCTTGAGCGATCCGCCTGCCTCGCCTCTCAGAGTGCTAGGATTACAAGTGTGAGCCACTGCGCCTGGCAAAGTCTAAATCATTTCTATAAATCTTGTCACAAAACTAGGTGTAAGTTTCAAAAATCTTTTAAACAGAAAATATAGAATATAAATTCTAAAAATGATATTAGGCTGGGCATGGTGGCTCACGAGTCTGATCCCAGCACAAAGAATAAAAAATAAAAAAATTAGCCGGGTGTGGTGGCACACACCAAAACTATAGTCCCAGCTACTTGGGAGGCTGAAGGAGGAGGATTGGTTGAGTCCAGGAATTTGAGATTACAATGAACTATGATTGGGGTGGCCACTGTACTCCAGTCTAGGCAACAGAGTAAGATCTTCTCTCGGCCGGGCGCAGTGGCTCACGCCTGTAATCCTAGCACTCTGGGAAGCTAAGGTTTGCAGTTATCCAGTGGTTAGGTCTGGGTGTTCACTTTTGATCTTGAAGTTCAAGATGTCATCACTGTTCTTGTATTGTTTCTCTACCATTCTCCCTGTTTCTTTTTGGTTTTGGCTTCCTCCTTAAGATGGACCCACCTCCTGCTGGTGGTATTAGTTGCTGCAGTTCCAGACCTCATGTCTTTATACCATCAGGAGGAAGAGAATCTCTTCCCATAGTTTTCCTTTCTTTTTTTTTTGGTTTGTTTATTTATTTATTTTTTTGAGACAGAGTCTCACTTTGTTGCCCAGGCTGGAGTGAGTGCTATGGCATCAGCCTAGCTCACAGCAACCTCAATCTCCTGGGCTCAAGCGATCCTCTGCCTCAGCCTCCCAAGTAGCTGGGACTACAGGCATGTGCACCATGCTGGCTAATTTTTTCTATATATTTTTTTAGTTGTCAATTAATTTCTTCTATTTTTAGTAGAGACGGGGTCTCCTCAGGCTGGTGTCGAACTCCTGACCTCCAGCAATCCACCACCTTGGCCTCCAGAGTGCTAGGATTACAGGCGTGAGCCACCACACCCGGTCCATAGTTTTCCATGAGGATAAAAGAAGCTTCTTTCCCCATGTACCCCAGAGACTCCCTTGGCTTAGATTGGGTTGCTGTGCTTCCTCAGCCGCTCACTGTGTCCAGGAAGTAGAACTTGCTAATTAACTTAAGTCACTCAGGGATTACTCTAGAACAGGAGGAGTTGTCAGTTCCTTTTAAACCACCAGGATGGGAAATTAGGGCACTAATAGGAAGGAGGAAGGATGAATAAATGAGTGGGAGGGAATCTGTCTAACCTCCCTGATCCCATACTCTCTGGCCATAGCTCAGAAGACAACAGGTGTGTGCCTGGCAGAGTGAATGGCAGAGCTTGTGAGTTAGCCCCATTTTCTGTTTCTAAGTAGTAGCAGGCTTTTTAGCTGGGAACATGGGACTCAGTTAAAAACTATATTGTCAGGCGGCGCGGTGGCTCACGCCTGTAATCCAGCACTCTGGGAGGCCGAGGCAGTGGATTGCTCGAGGTCAGGAGTTCGAAACCAGCCTGAGCAAGAGTGAGACCGTTCCTACCATAAATAGAAAGAAATTAATTGGCCAACTGATATATATGAAAAAATTAGCCGGCATAGTGGCGCATGCCGGCTAATTGGAGGGCTGAGGCAGGAGGATTGCTTGAGCCCAGGAGTTTGAGGTTGTTTTGAGCTAGGCTGACACCACGGCACTCACTCTAGCCTGGGCAACAAAGTGAGACTCTGTCTCAAAAAAAAAATAAATAAATACTATATTGTCCAGCTCTTTTTGCAACTAACTGTGACCATGTGACTAAGTTATGACCTATGAGAGGGTGCAGAGATGGTATGTTCAGCTTTGGTAGCAAACTTCAGGGAATGAGCATGCCTTCCCCTCCCCTCCTGGACCACAGGCCAGGAGTTGAGCCACTTTACTCTGCTGATGAAGACAACCCCTACATATGGTGAAACAAGAAGGGAAGGTTCTGGGCCCTTTGGACAGCCCTGAGGAGCAGGAGCACCCTTACAGCCAGGGATCACCCTCTTCCTTACTTTTTTGTGGATTTTTTTTTTTTTTTTGAGACAAAGTCTCACTCTGTCGCCTGGGCTAGAGTGCCCTGGTGTCAGGCTAACTCGCAGCAACCTCAAACTTCTGGGCTCAAGTGATCCTCCTGCCTCAGCCTTCTT